AGAGTAGCCATAACTCAGAATGGTAGTTAAAAGGCTTGTCGGAAACCATTTGGACAAAATCTTTTGGATGGAATGATGTCATAAAACGTGGCCTGGCTGCTGATTACTGTTCAAAATGGCGGCTAGATGGCAAATTGTGGGCTTCTTTGGAGACTGAAACTTCAGTGAGTGGCTACACTTAGTACAATGCTTTTTATTAGCTTTGACAAAAAATATAATATTATGTTATTTTGAGTGACCTTCGCCTTTAAGGCTATGGCTTTGAAAGGAGATCAAGATGAAGTATTGACAGAAGTAAACTTGTCTCACCACCAATTATCTTTCAGTGTCTTTCTAAATTTAATCTCAATGAGTACTAAATATCTATGGAATGTCTTTATTTTTTAGTGAAAGAGTGTCACACCAGCTTTATTCAAGACTTTTACAGCAGTTTTTTTATAGCTACTGTCAAGTAATTGATACTCAAGAACCTGAGAAAGGTAACAATAGAAAATTAGCATAATGGTCCTTTTATTTTACTGCATTAGTAAATTCATCTGAAAATGTTAAAATTGCAATCAAGGATGGACATCAGTAGTATACATTTGAAGTTGTGTATGACACTAACTTTACTAATTTAAAAATGTTAAATAATGTTTGTAGGTACTTATCCAAAGATGTTTCAACCGAGCAACTTCAGTCCTTGGTGGTTTAAAAGGCCAACTGAAATTACTGGCTATCTATCTAATTCATTTGATACTCTAATCAGCTGTTCATAATAATTATTATATTTACATTATGAAAGCATCTTTTAGTTTTATATGTGATACACTGCTACTACAGGGCTGTCATTAAGTTTTGAGTCACCCATTGCCTTAGTCCTCACACCTGTAACAAACTTGTTACTTTGTGGGCGAATTGTACCAAGAACAGGTAAGTTCACCTGTAACATCAAGATACTCAGCTGTAAATATGGGTTATTGACCAAGTGTGAGGTCAAGATGGCTGGATATTGGCCAAGTTATTTTTTTTGCGTGTTTATGGACTGAGACAGAGTCGAGGTCCTTAAACTTGCAAAAAAAAGAACGAGGCAAATATCCAGCCATCTTGACTGAACAAGCTTGGTCAATAAAGGATTTAGTATATGGCTTTTGGGGAAATTTTTGTTGTGGGACATGGCGGGTAGTCCAGAACGGGCAAGATAGCTCCATCTTGCCTGCTCGGGTAGCCAATCACAGCACAGGATTTGATTCATCTTGCCCACTCACGAAGCTGGCCCTATAATAACTGGTGTTACGGGTTATGGCCCTTAATGTCAGCCCTAAACTGGTCATACATGTTCACATTTAAAGCAGAAGCATGTGGTTTTGAACATTTAATAATTACACTAAAGTATACTGGTTGGCGGTGGAAAGGAAAAATTTATATGAAATTACTTCAGGATCATGAGATGAATTTGCACAACATAAATTAAGAGTAAGATGGAAAGATCTTGTATATAGCAAAACATAGTTTCCTGCATGTTTATAAAATACTGGTATGTACTGTGCTTGTTTCTGAAACCTTTAAACCTTTCATCAAGGACTTTGACAATGATTGTGAAGGAATTAGAGCATAATTTTATTGTTAGTATTGCTCTGCAACTTATTATCTGAGCTAATGTTACAATAAATAATGATGGCAGACAGTACATCAAGAGAATATACAACAGACACTCAGTTCTCTTCTGGTATCCAGTTCTGTTTCTTTAGGAATGAACTTGTGTTTGATTTTTCACTAAAAAGAATGCATCACTGGCAGGCTACACAAAGTACTTTTCAAAACATCAACAATTGAGGATACAATTTCAGTGTTTGACTGGAAAAGGGAAATCAGCGGTCACTTCCATATCCATGAGTTAACAACAGTTTCACTTTGATTCAGGAAATTACAGAATTTTCAATGTTTTGAATTTCTCATGTGCTATTTTACCTTTTTAGAATAAAAACAAAATCAATGCATGGTGAAACAAGAAATTAAATTGAAATATTAAATCAATGTTAAACATTCTGACTGATAAAGTTGTAAGTTAACAAGCATTACCCCTAAACCTTTTTCCTTGGCATTGGACACATGACTGTTGATTTGGCCTGGTAACACCATCATTGGTCTTCTAGCCATAAAGTTTATAGCCACGAAATAGCTCTCACGTGACTAAATGTAGTGATGTTACCTGTATTTAAGAAATAGAAAACATGTAC